CAATCTCACGATCCAAAACAATTAAATAAGAAGTGGTCACAGTTATTGTGACTTGTGAGTAGCTATAGAACAAACAGAGAGAAAGAGAGTGAGGAAAAGTACTGAAGATTTGCTGGTTTGGCACAGTTAGCACAAGAGAGGGTGTTTTCGGATACATTAGATTCACCAGCCATTGATTACAAACAAGTGAAGGCCACTAGGGTTGAAGAAGTGCGAATAAGAACTTAGAAGAAATGGTGAAGAGAGAACAGAAATTTTATAACTTCGTGTTGATCAAGGAAAGGTATACATTTCAGTTTGGGCCTGGCCCGTTCATTTTGTCGGCCTATGAATTGGGCCTACCTATTTCGTGGGCTCATCAGGCCCATTTATATCTTCTGGGTTATTCTGACAAAAATTACTTCTTAGTTACAGAATAAAATAGTGTGTCATTCACTATCATTGCTAGATGCTAAAGAAACCAAAAAAAATAAAATAAAAAATACCCAGAAGATTTTTTTATTCGTTAGAGTGCAAAATTATTAATTATTTAAAAAATTTATTAAAATAATTTTTATATTTAAAATAATATCTTAATAATGTTTATTTGTTAAAAAGCTCAAATTGTTTACTTGGTAGTTTGCCTAACTTTTTCTAATTTATATTTTAAAGTTGATTTAACTCACCCAAATTGCATATTTATATATCGTAGCAAGTGGGTACATATTTCTCCAGCACACTGATTAAACCTTTTCAAATTCAACATTCTTTCACATTTTATTTAAAAAACATTTTAATAAATGTTATATTATTATAGTATGAGTTATTTTTATTATCTTATTCCTGTTTGTTTAGTCATTCTAATTAATTTAATTGATTAATCACAAATAAAAAGATCGAGTATATCACATTCGCTTTTACTCAAATTGGTTGAAAAGTTTAATTTATAGAGCAACTTTTATATAAATTAATGATTGATTATTTCATGCATGGTGAGAGCTAAGTGTTGTGCAGTCTCCACAGTTCACAAAGGTTGAGGACTTTGGGGGGGGGGGGGGGGTGAGTTTAGTTGGGATTACGTGGAGTAGCAAGGATTTAAAAGTAATATACGTTAAAATATGATATTATTGAAAAAATTAAAGAAATATAGAGATTTTTAATATAAATGCAGATATTTAGAGATAAAATAAAAAAAATTATAAAGTATAAAATATTGTTAATGATAATAAAAAAAAACATGTAAAATTTTTTAAAGTCAAAAAATTTTATTGTGATTTTTAAAAAATAAAAATAATTTTAAAAATAAAAAATTAGTGATTTTTGAAAAAAGAATAATTTTTTTAAAAGTACTTAAATAACATGATTGTTAATGACAATTTTTATTTTTTTTTCATATTTTTATAATTTTTTAAATAAAAAGGCAACGAGAAAATAAAAAATAAAAAATAAAAAATAAAAAAACGCATGCTCCAACTCTGTTAAACTTAAAATTGGATGTCCTTTGTTATTAAAAAAAAAAGACCTTTAATGTATCAGAAGCTACTAGGAGTTAATAGTAAAAATTAAAATTATGTGATCTTCACACTTGTCTTTTAAACCACTTTTCTCTCTGTGTAAAATGCAGTTGAATGACAAAGAAGTGAAAGAATGAACACTTACAAGAGTATTTCAACACTCAAATCAAATCCTTTTTGTATAAAACTGTATGGTAAGTGAATTAAACTTAGGTAGACAAGTAGCATGAATCCTTGAACTTTCATAATGATCCAAGAATCATAGGATTTTGAGGTTCTGTGCATGTGATTCTTAAAAAGCTTCCATGTGTAAGATCCATATATTAGGTTCAGTCAACATCCATGGCCTGGGGTTCGAATCGATTGCAGTCTAAGTGCCAAGCAAAAACAGTTTTTTTTTTTTAATCAAACTATACGTTATAATAAAAATTAATGTTGACATATATTTCAATTATATTCAATAAAAAAATATACCTTTATATCCTATCTAATTTTAAAACAAATCAGCCTGAAGTTTATGATTAAAACAAACAATAAAATTAATTTAATTCTATAAAATAATCAACATTAATTTCCTTTCTTGGTAATTTAAAATGACATTAAATTATTTTTTCAACCACATGGTTTGTGATTTTACTATTCATTTCTTTTATTTGCTTTGGTGATCACTATCAAACTTACTTCCAATGTTACTTTCTATAATTGAGAGATTAAATTAATATTACTTAACTTTTTATAGATTAGATTAATATTAGTATGTTGTTGATATGATAAACGTATGATGACATATTCTTTTTCTGATGATAGTCGAATCAAGGGAGCACTTTTTCTTCATTGGTCTTAGAGGGATAAAGCGAAGGGAATAATGCAAATTGGGCATGTTTGATTCATGAAACATTAATTTGTAATCTCTATGTGAATCTTTGGTGAAAAAACGTGTAGGAAAACTGAGAGAGGGAAAGAGTGACTTGGCAAGTGGTAAGGTTGGTAGGCTTTGTGTGTGTTATTGCTACAATCCCAAACTTGTTGCTAACATATTTTGTTTTCATAGTTTTGGATTTCATTGGTTTGTGGAATATGAAACTAAGTGGAGAAACAACTAATCGAAGCTTTTATGTGTGTATCTTTCTACAGCTGATATCCACGATAAGAAATAGTTCACTGAATTTGGAAGAGACTTCCAAAAGCAACCGCTAAATGATTCTTCACTTCATCTGTCTTCATTGACAATTCACCTTTGAGGATAACTCTTATTTTACTTCTATTTTTATTAATTGTTTTAAATATATAATGTTTTGAATCCGGGGAAAGAACATGAATAGATTGGATAAAAATTTGAATAAACTTTTAAGTTTAGTGTATTTAGAAAATTATTTTAATTAGTTTATATTTTATTTTATTAGTTTATAAACTTATTTAATTAAAGTAAATTTATAATTGTTTATTTATGAAATTATTTTACATGTTATTTAAAATAGTATTTACATTTAAAATTTATAGTTTGTTCTTAATTTTTTAGCTTCATTATTCAATAAAAAGTTTATTTATCTTAATTATTACTCTATCTATTTTAGTTCAAAATGAATAAGATTTAATTTAATATGAATATTTTCAAAATTTTGTTGTGATCGTATTTTTTATTCTTTTTAAATCTAGATCCGATATAGGTTGCGTATTTAAATATAATTTATTATTGAAAATTTTTTATATACACAAGAATTTAAATTTAAAACTTTCCTCAAGTACTATTAAAGTGTTTGCCACTTCGACCAACTTATATTGGTTGTGTCGTATCCTTTAAATGATATGAAAAAATGGTACTTAATAAATATCATAAATATACAAACAGAGATAGCAACAAGAATGGAAGATGGTATTATTTTCATTTGGAAGAAATTAATTATAATTGCCTAATCACATGAAGTCTTGTTTGTAGAAATTCCAGCATTGATTGCTTAGTCACCTCTCATCATATCTTTGTCTTGTGATAAGTTCCAATTAATTATGAGTTATGACTACTTATATTAATTAATAACTATGTGGGTATATGAATCAGGATTCGTACACAAGTTTATATATATATATAAAATACAGATCGATAGAGACATAGTTATTGAAAGAAAAGTTCATTTAATTTGAATTAGAGGATACTGCCGAAATCAACCGCTAAATGATTCTTCACTTTGGGTGTCTACATTCCGATGACATCGTGATGATATATGTTGAATAGTTCATTTATTAAGGTATAAGGATATAGTTTTCATTTATTCAGTGAAAAACAAAGTTTGAAGTTTGCTTGAGAATTTATGCGGTGCCAACAACACTATCCTAACCTTATTCATTTAATTCTGTTTTTTATTTGTATATTTTTTTTTGAGCGAACAAGTTTGCTTACATGCTTCATTATATGGATGTAAAGAAAGATATTCATATCAGTTTATGAGACTGAGTTTAAATAATTAATATTTAATAAAACTTTACTATTTTAAATAGTAAGGATTGATATTAATCAAACAAAAAGAATATACTAAAGAAAAAATCTTTGTAATATTTTTTATCTAATAAATATTTAGCTATTAATTAAGTAATAGTCTTCATTAATAGTACATATACTTATAAACAATTTCATTTATCGACCGTTGTTGCATCGTGTTAACAATATCATATATAGACTCAAGATATTTAAATTAATAATTTTAATTTTATTAAATAAAATTATAATAACATAGTAATAATTTTTAATCTTTGCTGTTAGTATCTAAGTGGATAGTTTAAATTTATATTTTTCATTGTTTTTAAATAAAAACATTCTCATTATCTATCAATCTATTTTTTAAAATCTACAAAATTAAAATCTTAAAAAAAATAGTACAAAAAGTATATATATCACTTCAATCTGTCAGTAAATAATAATTATTTCTATTATAACCAGTAACTTTTGGGGTATAGTTTTTCACTTTTGTTAATACAGATCAATCCTAAAAGAAGTTAAAAATATATGATATATGTATGCCACCAAAGTATTCGAGTACTTACATCTCTAACGCAATACAGCGATCATATTGAAGTGTGAGGGGTTGTTAATTTCAACAAAATTATAAGTTCAGGTTTATGTCTATGCCTTTTTCTTTATTCCAACAAAATTATTATTAAGACAGTAATTCACATGTATACTAATGAATGACTTACATTGTATCGAGTAAGAATTTTCAATATAACTATTCCTCCCTTTTTCATTTTTTTAAGGAAAAAAACAACTATTAACTTATAATCCACTGTACCATTATTCCAATATATATAGATGATTTTATTCCATATAATATTAACATAGGCTTTACCTTACGTACATACTAGATTCATGGATCTACTTAAAGCGATGGATATTTAGAAAAGCTAGCATATGATACATTGCTAACTGCTAAGTATCACAGTCATGCTAACATATAGTTACAACCCATTAATGATTAATTTCATTTACTACGCATGAACTCAAAGTTGCATCACCACTTAAATTCCAGCCCAAAATGGCACCCCAGTAGCTTGAATCCAACTTTCTCCTTGCAAAAACTGGTTCACTGTGAAGGGTGAGGCCTCACTAGCACTCAGCACATGAAAACCAGGCCAATTCACTCTATTTTGAGTAGAGGCACCACTACCAGTGTTCATATACTCTCCATAGTACAAAGTTGAGAGTGCAAAATTTCCATCCCATTCACTCCACCCTTTTGGGTGAATCAGCCCATCTAAGTCAGTTTTAAGATACACTGTCCTTGAATACTTCTTCCAAGGCCTACCCAAGAATGTGTTGTAAGAATTCTTAAATGAGACAAACTCAGATGTAGGCCTAACCCTGCTATTTTGGATTGAAATTCCAGTGGGTTTGTTTGGATCGTCTCTTCCTTGTGCTGTGATGAAGTTGGATTGATGGCTCATTGGTTTCCTCACAAAGATGTCACAATTTTGTAACACCACTATGGCATCACCAAATATGAAATCTACAGTGCCATATATGTAACAATCACGGTAGAATTGGCGATTTGAAAGCACATAAAGTGTGTCTTGGTAGCCTTTGATGCTGCATCTATAGAAGACTGATAAGTCTGAACTAACCTTAAGTGCCACCGCTTGGTGCTTTTCTGGGCCTGCTGTGTTCTCAATTGTCATATCTCTGGCCCAAAATCCATCCCCTGATACATCTGTTTGATATATACCAAATTTAGTTAGCAAAACCTTTTAATCACATGAAACCAAACCACCTGTCCTCATTGTGTCTCCTTTTTTCTGTTCCCTTAATAGGAAAATAAGACCTTAGGGAATAAAAAAATGTTGTGAAAATATTTAGTACACACCCCTTAAAGTGTAAATTTCAAGTGGAAGATAAGAAAAGAAAAGGTATAAATATAATATGTAATATGATGTGATAAGAGAAACCTAAAGAAATAAAAGATATCATATAAATGGTAATATTGATGGAGTGTCTGAGAATTAGAATTGAAAAAAAAAAAATAATAATGCTACTTTTAAATTACATGTATTTTTATGATGAAGGAAACGGACACAAGTGAAAGGGAAATTACTGTGTAGTTAAAAATTATGTGTATTAATGGTTCCAATCAATTACGATACAATATAAGTTTAAAAATTTGAAAACGTAGATCTAATATAATAAAAATTATAAATAGTATCATTGAAAATTATAGATTTAAAATTATTCAAACTGAATTAAACATGACCTAAAACATATACAGTCACATGCTGTGTCATGACTTAAGAAGATCATAGACATGCAGTGCATTAGATACTTATTATTTGGACAGATATTTAATAGTCTTACCAAATGTGGCTGAGCTCAGAGTGGAAGAGCCTTGGGCAACATTTCGGTTGCCAGTGATAATTGTTTTGTCTATGCCATCTCCTACAAACATCACATTGTTCAATCCAATTTGCACCTTCTCATTGTAGACACCTGATTTCACATGTATAACTGCTCTCGCAGGACGATTGTGCCCCATTGCAGCTAGTCCATTTACCGCTTCTTGGATTGTTTTGTGGGTCCCTGAACCATCCTGTGCCACTGTCAAATCTGCCTTATAGCTTTCTGTACTCCATGATTCTAAAAGACCACCACTTGATTTGGATATCGTTCCCTCAGCTGGTCCTCAACAAACATTTTAAAAATCAATATAAGATATTCAAATTAATATTGTGATCAATTAGGGTAATTACTAATTAACCATCCTGTGTTGTTATCCTTAATTATCAACATTTGTCATTGTTAATTTTTTATGACCTAGTTGTATGTAAATGTAAAATCAAATTGGTAGTTAGTACATCAAATGGCAGAGAATAATATTTTCCCTTAACACAGAAGAAACCAAATAGTTAGTAACAAAACCACTTAAAAAAGAGTTATTTTCATTTTTTGTTTCTCAATTATTATATACCAAGGTAGACCAATAATGAGCTTATTGCATATCCCAGTCAGCTTTCATGATTTCTTTTGTTTGTTGCATATACTAAAGGACAATATTCTAGCCTTCCGTAACTAAGACATTCTTCTAACTTCTTTTGCCGAAAAGAGTAAATAGTAGCTATCCTTTCAGAAATATAGGTGCAGATAAGCTCAAATATGTAGTATCTAACAAAAGTACAAAATCAGATAAATACATGAATAGATATGTACAATTTAATTAAATTTTTTTCTCAATAATTTTACATATTTATATGCCATTTACCCTGCTGTCACATACGAAAAGAACAAATTAATCATTCTCTTTCTTAAGGGCTATGTGCATATGCACATACTATATACTTGATGAATTTTTTTGAAGTAATAAAAATTATAAATTATATACAGAGAGACACACGCACGTGGTGGATCTATCTTTGTTGAACCGCAGTTGTCAACGCTCGAAAAATGTCTAAAAGCTGTCTTATCTTAAAATATGTGTAGTGGTGGATTGCATAGATACCAGTACCCTTTTCATTTATGTAACATTTAGTGCAATGGCAGAACATAGATAATGTTCAGTAAATGTCAAAGTTGATATATACACCTGTTGCATGCATATGAACATCCCCTACTTATATATCAACCAAGAGTCGTTTTCAGGAGTGAGTCACAGTTTAAGAGAGAAATGAAACACAAAACCATTTGATAACAACGTCAGTTATTTGATAAGAAATTCTTTTAAATACATTTTATAATGCATTTCATGTAATTAATCAAATTTTTCTTATAAATTAATTATTTTTAAAAAAGCATTAATCACAAAATATATATAGCAGAAGCTTTAAAAAAAATAGATTTGCTAATTTTCCTTTATTATATCATACAAGTTACGTACCTTTGCCTTTGCTTTTTGAATACAAAACAAGAGCTTCCCCAAGCAACATGGTCAAGTTTCTATCCAAAACATGATCGGCTTCAACATACCCTTTTTCTTGCAAACCATCCAAACAAGCCCTATGGTTTGTCATCACAGCACTAACCCATGTAAGTGCATCTTCTTTGGTGTAACTACTCTCTTCAGACATCATGTGAGAGAGCCGAGACTCACTCTCCTCATAGAGTTTGGCACAATCTCTTAAAGGCACACTATTACTTGTTTGGTCAAGGCTTAAGCTTCCAAAGCCATGCAATCTCACAGAGTTATTGCTAACCCAACTCTTGGCTTCTGAAATACGGATTTGGGCCATTTGAAGCACCTCCATTTGTTGGAGGCAAAAGGTGGTGGTGGCCATGGCAAGAAGGAGGAGCAAGGTGGTAGCACAGTAATAAGTGGCCATTTTTTACTAGAGAAATGTGATGAGTTGCATGGTTTGGTGTTGTGGGTTGATGATTTATAGCCAGCTTAAAGAAAGCACACACATGGATGCTAGCCAAGTGTCACTAGGACTGTGTGACCTAACCTATTTGACATATGTGTTATCTTGGATGGGAAAATTTCTTCGAAGTATACATATAAATGTTGTTAAACATTTATAGTTTCTTTTTTTAACATTCTTCGAATTGTAGAAAACCTAGATCAAATGCTTTATTTAACAAAAGTCACTTGTATGGGAAAAATACTCTGTGGTCTTGTATAAGAATAAAATTAATTTCACAAATTTTAATGTGCAAGAATACTTTTTATTTCTATAAAATATAGGACACCTTTCCTTTTTATTGCCCTTAGTATAAATCTTTTAACTAGGTTAATAATCCTTCGATAGGAAAAGTTTTAAATAAATTTTCTACCTTGTGAGATTTGTTGAATTATATAATTTTTTTAATCTTTAAAAAATATTTTGAATAATAAAAAATAAGTAGAATTTTTTATTATAAATAAGTAAAAAATTCTTTTATCATCTAAATTAACATCTAATTAGTAAAATGTATGAAAATGGTCTAGCCTATAATAATAATTTCTTACAGAAATATCGTGCCCGCATGAATATATAATTAACATTGTCTAATCTCATACCTGGCTTGCACGACTCTAAGCATATAATTATTGGAAAAAGATTATTTTATATAGGGTGTATTATAGGAAGAGAAAAGAAAAAGAGAAATAAATAAAAAACATAATAAATAATATCATAAAAAATATATAAGAAAGATAAAAATGAATAAATATGAACACATACTAATCGATAAAAAATCATTATAAGAAATATTATCCATTGCCCACCTATGAGAAATCACATCCACGCATATAACAATTGTCAGATCGTGTGCGGTAATAAAACCACCGCTTCACAAGGAATCTCTTTCGACAATACAATTAGAAGTGTTAGCAAGAATAGGAGGAACGAGTTTTTTTTTTTCTAAAGTTTTGATAAATTATTTATTTAAATTTAATTTGATTAAAAATTAATCTTATATAAAATAATATTGAGTTGGTTTAATTTAATGATATAATATATGAATTTTAATACTATATATATAGCTATAGATTTAAAAAATATAAAATTAAAATATATTTTCAAAATATATTTTTTAAATAAATAATATTTATAAAATCATGTTATAAAAAATATTTTTTTATTAATTTAATAGATTTGGTATTAATATTTAATTATTTAAAATGTGAATTTAAGAAAATGATAAGACAATAGAGTGCATTTTATGAGTTTAATTTTAGTGTATTGGAAATACTAAAATGTTTATGCTGTCAATTTTTAAAAATAGAATATAATTTGAAATTAGTAATCATGAATGTTAATAATTGATTACATGAGATTGGATCATAGGAATTAAAGTCCAATTATAGTCATATTTTAAAAACACGTCTTACAATGTGAGAAGTGATAAAGAAAAGATAAAAAATTATTTGATAAAAAAAATAAATGATATAAAAATTATAAAAATATATTATAAAAAAATAACCTATTTTAAATTCTCTTATTAAATTTTTTATTAATTCGTTTGTTTACTATATCAAAGAAATAATAAATTCCTGTTATATTTTTAAGACATTACATAAATTTTTAGCTAAATTTTTTTATAAACTATTAATAGAAATAATAAAAAAATGTAGGACTCTAAAAAATTTGATTGTTATGTATCCCAAATAAAAATGTAGTATTTAGTTTTAGATTTTGAAATGCTGCGTCAGTTTGCGCACAAAAGCGCGGTGCGGTGCCATCCAGACAAAGGTTCAAAGGCCGAAGTTAATAAATATATAAAAATGTAATGATAAGGATTTTTCATTACCTTTTTTTTATTTCCACAATTATATTACAATCATAATTTTGATTATCACAATGTAATTCGGAATATATTGCCATTTTGATTATACTTTAAAATTATGTTTAAGAAGGTATTTATCATTGACAATGGATATTAAGAAATAAAGATGAACATAATAAGATAAGAATAAAGTAGTTGCATTCCCAAATTAAAATTCTAACAAATTTATCGATTGAGTAGTCATAGAAAATTTAATAAAAGAAAAAAATGTAAAGAAAGAAGCAAAGCAAAGGACAGAGATATAATGCAAAACGCATTCGGTGGCTGAAGTCATTGAAAATGGTGTTTTGTGGCCACGCGTTTGAAAGTGAAGTACAATGATTTGACAATTTGCAGAGTAGTATGTTTTCTATGCATGTTACTTCTGCGATACCATTGTTCTTCGCTGATATCCTACAACATTTTTTTTTAATTTAAATTTTATATCATAAATTGAATATTTTTTAAAATTATTTTGATTTTTTAATATTTTTTCAAAGATTTTGTAAAACAAAATGAGAGAAGTAAACCACGTATTAAATAGCTTATTTTGGGTTTGATATGCTCATCAGTGGGTGGCAACTGCTCACATGAAAACACTATATTTGATAAATCCATGCAAAAACCAATAGGCAGCCTTTGATTTTACTGTATTTTTATAATAATAATAATAATGTCAGATATGATCAGGTGCCCATGCAAAAACCAACATATAATGGGCACCTGATCCACAATGTTTTGACGTGAAAGGACTAATGAATGTCAAAATCATCTTAGTGCTTCCTAAAGTATGAAACATTAGAGTAACGTTTGATTTAGAGACAAAAATACTGGTAGAGAAACATGACAATACACACATCATGTTTGGCTAGTATCTTGTAAAAACACAGAAAGACATGTGAGACACAAGGCCATGCAGTTTTGTAAAGGCAAAATAAAAAAATTATGGCTGAAATATGTATAATAGATACTCCAATCTTTTAGTATACACAAAACAGGACTAACGTTACTTTTGACAGATAATATCAACAGTTTTCTTCCATGAACCGTTCAAAATTATACTGTAACATATACGATTGTCTGTATTATAAAGAAATACCTAAAATTATTCAGAGACCTAAAGTTATTCTCTTTCAAGTGTGTTGAAAAAATGTTTCTCTAATATGAATATATACATGATACCGATTAAAAAATATATATTCTTACATTAGTATAATAATTTTTGCTTTTCTATTTCATCTTTTATTTTTATCTTTTTTTGTTGGATCACATATTATTTATAATTTTTTTTCTTATTTTCTGCTCTTGCATTCCTAAAATAAAATCTATGATTAACATTATTAAATAAAGACGAGCCACCCCAAATTTAGCAGATATTCACCTCTAGATCTAAATTTAATAAGTAAAAACATAGACTAAGATTCAGTTTAGTAAAAGTGCAAGAAAGTCTTTTGAAAGAGAAAAAAATTAGTATAAAAAAGAGACAAAATATCTTTCATAAAATAGAAAATTAGTCATACTTTTTTTTTTTTGAGAAATTTTGAGAAGCTATTTTATTTAACTTATCTAAATTTTAAAGAGATAACTTTTTTTAATTAATAAGAGAAATTTTATTTATTTTTTATATTAAATTTTTTTTTTTCTATATCAACTTTTCCAAAAGTTCACCCATGTAAGACACAAATCAAATCTCCATTGTTATAATTAAACGCTGTTTAAATGGCCAACTTTTAACATCTAACGTTCTCATCTCTACTTAACACTATTCAACACACATAACAGTAACAAATCCTTAACAGGAATAACCATGTTATTTCTCAGTTGCACGTAAAGCCATGGTAATTAATTTGGTCCAATCATGAGAAGCATGCATGAAACAAATTAATCACATGAATCATAACAAAGTGCCAAAACCAAGAAACTCAGTTTCAAAAATTACAAACGCTAACATCTTCTTAATATTATGCAAACGATTTTGGTTATACAATTGATAAAGAATAAAACTATTATCACCTAAACTAAGTAAAATTTTCTTATTGTATTTGACAGTACATCATTCAAATTTATTTTGAAGGGGCAAAAGTAAAAGAATAAGAAATCAATAAACTCATCAATAAATAATAAAATTTAAAGACCAAAGATGAAAGGAACACGAGTGGAAGGTAAGTACGAGTTGCCAGCAGTTATGGTTGTGTTTGGAGTAAAACGTGAAATGAATTGAATTGTGGGTATATTGTTTTGAATTACGTTGACAAGTCGTGGTTGGCCGTTGAATAGTGTGACTCTCACGCATACATGAATTTGAAGATATTAATTACATCTGAAAAGTATTTTTTTGGTAGATATAGATAGATAGAGAGAGAGAGAGAGAGAGAAGTGAACTTCAGAGTATAACTTGTTACATTGACGATTATATATGCGTATCGATCTCATTACGATCCTCTAAATACAAAAATCAAATTCAACAAAACAAAACTATTTATAAATTGTACATATTAAGTTTCCTATTGCATTAGCAACCTAGGATAACATTATTTCAACGACTGAAAAAAATAAAGAAATGGAACGAATCAAACAATCAATAAATAATGAACACGACATAATCACAGAGTAGAGGTAAAAGGCACTTTGGTGGCAGGTAACCACGAGTTTCCAGCGATGAAATTTCCAACTGTGAATTTGGAGGCTTCGGAAGCTCTAGTTATCACATGATAACCTGGCCATTTAACTCTTCCAGAAGTAGAAGCACCAGGACCAGTGTTCATATACTCTCCATAATACAAAGTACTTAATGCAAAGTTACCAGTCCATTCTAACCAACCTGCTGGATTGATCAGACTATCAAGATTAGTCTTCATGAAAACTGTTCTTGAATATTGCTTCCAAGGTCTTCCAAGATAAGTCTTAACAGAGTTTTGGACTGGTTTCAAATCTGAAGCAGCAGTGACCTTTGAATTGTGAATGGAAATACCTGTGTTTTGGTTTGGATCGGTTCTACCTTGGGCAGTGATTGTGTTAACTTTGTTTGGAG